CCGGCGGATCCGTAGTGGTATGAGTTGCAGGGGGGGCAGTATACAGACTACCCACTGTCAAAGTACATTTGAATTGGGGTGTTGGGGAGGGGATGATAGAGGTGGGCCTGATGCAGAAGCTACCCGCGGATGTTGTATTGGGGAACGACCTGGGCCGAATGACGTCTGCTTTTATACCCCAGGCTCCACACCAGGAAGCCCATCCAGTGACCACAAGACAGCAGGCTCGCACCACAGTTCCACCAGCACACTCTGAGGCTCAGGTAAGGGACAGTGACCCTCACACGACACATATGACCTGGGATACCCCGACTAAATTTGAGGCGGAGGTGAAGCTAGACCAAACGTTACAAGTGTACAGAGACATGGTGAGCAGAGACCAGGCCAATTAGAGGGGGAGCGGTTTACCTGGGAGAAAGGGTTAATATATCTTATTGCAGAAAGGGTAGTGGGGGGTCGGTCACGGTGACGACTAGACAGCTAGTAGTTCCCCAAAAAGTATAGACAAGAACTTCTCCGGATCGCTCATGACATCCCCTTGTCTGGGCATCTGGGGATGACACGCACCCGATACCGTTTGACCCACGCCCTTTTCTGGCCAGGGATACCTAAGGATGTGCGGCAGTACTGCAGGTCATGCGACATTTGCCAGAGAGTTTGCAAGAGGGGTGACCGCCACAAGGCCAAATTATGCCCCCTGCCCATCATTGAAGAACCCTTTAGAAGGGTGGCCGTAGATATAGTAGGCCCCTTGCCCAAGCCCAGTCCCTCTGGCAAGAAGTGTATTTTAACCGTAGTAGACTACGCCACCCGGTACCCCAAGGCAGTAGCGCTCTCCAATATTCATGCTGAAACTGTGGCCGAGGCCTTAATGAAAATATTCTCCCGGGTGGGGTTCACCCAGGAGATCATATCCGATAGGGGTACTCAGTTCACCGCCGAGGTCACCCAACAACTATGGAAGATATGTTAAGCCTATAGTGAAGCCTATAGTGAATTACGCATACCATCCCCAGTCCAAATGGGTTATGCAAAAGATTTAACAGTACCCTGAAGCAGAGGGTACACTTGGAGAGGCTCATAAAGACTGGGAGCGATTCCTACCCACCTGCTATTTGCATATAGAGCGGTACCCCAAGAGTCGACGGGATTTTCCCCCTTTGAATTGCTGTTTGGGAGAAGGGTGCGAGGGCCGTTAGACTTAATTAGAGAGCACTGGGAGCGGGAGAGTGGTACAGATGGGACACCCATTGTACCACACATGCTGGAGTTCAGGGACCGCTTGGAGGCCTTAACCCAGGCCGTACGAACCAACCTCCAGGCGGCCCAACAACGCCACTGGTATGATAGGAGAGCCAGGGACCGCAGCTTTCAAGTGGGACAGAAGGTTTTGATTTTAAAACCTCTCTGCACAGACAAGTTGCAGGCCATCTGGCAAGGCCCATACCAGGTGGTGGAACAGAGATGTGATTGGCCCCTGCTCAGCCTCTGAGGATCAGGAGAACCTGCCGCTACCTGACCTATTAGAACAGGACGTGTTCAGCTGGGGGAGTGGCTAAGCCCTCAGGAGCGGGCCCAGGTGCAAGAGTTGATCGTGGCTAAAGGAGCCACCTTCTCCAATTTACCTCGGTACACTCCGCTGGCCACTCACCGAGTTGAGACCCCCGGACAGCTACCTATGCGGCAGACTCCATATCGTATCCCTCAACCACTCAGGGAACATATGAGGAAAGAGATTGAGGAGATGTTGCAGCTAGGGGTTATTGAACATTCCGATAGCCCCTGGGCATCGCCGGTAGTGCTAGTACCCAAGAAGGATGGCACGACACACTTTTGTGTAGACTACCGGAGGCTAAATGACAAAACTCGGTGTGATGCCTATCCGATGCCCAGGATAGATAAGCTGCTGGACAAGATGGCACAAGGCCAGTATCTCACTACCATAGATTTGTGTAAAGGGTACTGGCAAATTCCACTAGCCGAGGATGTCATCCCCAAGTCGCGTTTGTCACCCCATTTGGCCTGTACCAATTTCGAGTCATGCCATTCGGGATGAAAAACGCTCCGGCGACCTTTCAACGGATGGTAGATCGGCTACTGGACGGGTTCCAGGAATATGCGTGTTCATACCTGGACGATATCGCCATATATAGCCAGACATGGGCAGAGCATCTGCAACACATTGGATCCGTTATTGACCGTATCAGGGAGGCAGGGTTGACGCTGAAGCCTAGCAAGTGTCATATAGGGATGGCAGAGGTGCAGTACTTGGCACACCGGGTGGGGAGCGGGCAACAAAAGCCAGAACCAGCAAAGATTGAAGCCATTGCTAAGTGGCCTACCCCTAGGACAAAAACCCAAGTGTTAGCCGTCCTGGGTACCGCAGGATACTACCGGAAGTTTGTACCTAATTACAGTGCCCTGGCCAAACCCTTGACTGACTTGACCCGCAAGAACCTTCCTCGACAGATCGTCTGGGCCCCAGAGTGTGATCAGGCATTTAACCAACTCAACACGGCTCTAACTAATGCACCTGTACTTGCTGCTCCTGATCCAACTAAACGATTTCTTGTCCACACAGACGCTTCAATGTTTGGATTGGGAGCAGTGCTGAGCCAAGCTGGAGCAGATGGAGGAGAACATCCCGTAGCGTATCTAAGCCGGAAACTATTACCACGGGAAGTGACCTACGCTGCCATCGAGAAGGATTGCCTGGCCGTGGTGTGGGCCCTCAAAAAGTTACAGCCGTATCTATATGGACAACCTTTTTACTTGCTCACAGATCACAACCCGTTGGTGTGGCTGAACCGTGTGGTTGGAGACAATGCCAGGCTGCTGCGCTGGAGCTTGGTGCTGCAGCCTTTTGACTTTACCATTCATTACTGCCCAGGGAAACAAAACGGTAACGCCGACGGGTTATCTTGAAAAGTGATCTGTGGGCACTCCTCCGGACATCCCCAAGCCGATCCGTTGGGATCAGACTGTGTATGCCGGCTTGGTTCTGGGGGAGCATTGTGGAAAACCTAGCCACTTTTAGGTACTGGACTATATTTGCAAAAGGTTGTCTGTAATAGCCGCTGGATTGTATATTGTAATGTCTGCCTGTGCTGATATGTTTTAGAGCATTCGTATGCTAGCAGCCGAAAGCCGCTAACATTCATGTATTTCGTTTCACGAACAGAGACTTTACGAATGATCTACCACCCAGTAGCCCACACACAGAGGGTCGTGTTGCACCCATTAACCGATTGCAACATTGTTGCAATCGGTAGTTAAGGGCTTCCCTAGGTGTCCGTCGTTCGGCTACCGACCACACGGTGGTCGGCCATCTTGGATCCTTTGTTTCACCAGCTGTGTTTGGTCGTCGAGCCTGTGGAGCTGAAATCAGCTTCTCGACGGTGCGAACACCGCTGGGCTTCCAGGCCGTTCGGGAGCTCCGGTCTTTCGCTATTATGGTTCCCCATTGGTGTTCGGTACTTTTAGGCGAACACAATGTTAAAGTGTATTTTGTGCGGCGTTCGGTTATTTATGCTGGGATCTGATCGGTATTCTCACGAAATGTGCGCTCAGACCCCAGCTATCTACTGAACGTCCATTTGTTTAAATAAAGTGAATGATGGCAAAGTTATGTATTTTAGGGTAAAATGTCGGTTCTGCTGCATGGAGGGATAATCCACTTAACGGTATATTCCAGTGGGAGTATCCCTCTCGTCCAGCAGTGCCTGATGGGAGAAATGTCCAGATTGTTAAGTCCCTCATGTAGCCCCCTACTGTATAACCCCTGCAATGTCAGTAGGGAAACCCCTTGCATGGGGACTTGCATAAATACTGTGACCTGTGAATAAAAACTTCAGTTGACTCCCAGAACTGTGTTTCATCCGGTTACTGGGGGATTTGGGATATTGCCTTACTTTTCAGCACTTGACTTTGGATTACCTTCTGTACCAGCGGAGATCGTGGAATTTAATATAGCAGCTCTGCTACACCTGGCATGGTATTGTTGGTGGGCCTGGCCAGCCTGGCCAGCTGCCGGTCCCAGCCAACGCTTTTGCAAGATCTTTGCTGGGCTGCACTGATAAGGAGACTTGATGGAAAAGTACAGACTATCTATACCATTGGTAAGTATGTTATAAAAGACGAGAAAACCTGGCACTCACTTGGAGTACTACCGACCTGTAATACAGACGCGTATTGCTGGTTCTGCTGATTCCCAGTAAGAGAGGGTCCCCTTCAAGCCTGACTGACAGAAGTTCTCTCAGTCAAGTGCAGCAAGCTTCTCTTAGGGTGATGTATACTTAAGCTGAATATTAAGCTGTTTCCTTAAGCTGAATGATTTCTTATTAAGTCTCTTAAGTTAATCAATAAAGTTTTTATTGAATATTTACAATTACTTGATGTCAGTGTCTTTCCCTTTCTCAAATACTCAATTCACTCATCCCAAATAGGGTTTTGGTGCCCACCAATTTCTTTAAAAACCTTAGGGTAATTGACTATTGGTTTTTGATATTGGCGCTTTGTGAATTTAATGATTAGGCACAACAATGTACCAACGTTTGCTGTGTTTCCTGGGGAACAAGGGAACAATCTGCCTGGCCAGGTCAACCTATCTACTTTCCAATATAAGTGAGGGCTCTTGGTGATTCACCAACTGCTAATACCAGTGACGGCTCATCTTTGTTTACAAAGGTTTCCATTACCTCATAGCTAGACTCCTTATTACTCTCCCGCGAGGATGCCCTGGACTGATCTCAACCTCACTTTATGATCCCGTTGTTCGTATACTGGGGCTTCGCAGTCTGCAAAGGAAAGTTGACCCGCACCCCGTCTCAGGTGGTGAAGTTCCAGGTCTCAGGATAGACGCCCCTTGGGAGTGCTTCGTCGGCCACAGTCATAAATATTCCACATTTCGCATGGTGAGCTGGAGAATTCTATGGTGCGACCAGATTCCCCACCGCATGCTAGCCTGCAGAGTAAACCTATTTTCAGATGATACCACTCACCTCGGAAGTCAATGGGGAATGAGGAAACTTTTATTCTTTTCTGCCCCAGACTTGGTCGTGGTTCCAAACACAAGTCTTGAGATTGGGGAACTGCTTGCGCGATCACATCGTCTGATCTTCTTGGAAACTCAGAAGCCGACTTTCGCATCTTTGGTCCAAAACTGATCGCAGGTTTTCCTTTAGCAATCTCAAGTTTCACCGATAATTTATCAGACTGTTGCATCCTCCTGAGAATAGACATCATATTGGCATTGCATCACATTGAACGGTCAGATGTTACCAGGTACAGTGAATCCTGCGGCGGATTGACTTTTTTCCGGGATTGAAGGAACATCAACGACTGGTTTCTCTGTCAATTGCATTTCCATTGCATCTCGCTGTCGAAGGATCCATTCAGGACGAATCTATTGGCCTCCCGGAACAAGCATCGTTTGCTTTGTTGACTGAGCGTTAAAACAGCAAATATGAAGCCTCCTGTCATGTTATAAAGTTGTAGATTATGCTTACTTTAGTGTACCTATAATCTTAATTTTATTAAAGACAGGAGGCGAATATTTCCCTCCCAGTTTTTTCATCCCTACCCTTGTTTGATCTCTGGTCAGAAGTTGTGGGTAATCAGGTATGTATGCAACTCTGCTTGTTGTTTCTGTAGGTTTTAGTGAATCCCTATTTATTTCCATTTTTGAGCGGCCCAGTGCCAGTCTGACTACCTCCCCCCTGTGTAATACATTAGGTTTACCAGAACCAATTATCTTGTTGTTTCTGCTATCTGTCGCTTTTCATGTTACCATTTCTTACATAGAACGGTTGGGATCTCTGTACATTACAGCAATACTGTTTGTCGCAATGGGTGACTGCATGTTTTTTCACAGTACATTTCATTATCTAACCAGCCCTTTTGACTATGTTTTTCTTGTTTCAGTATATAATCTGTCCGTGGCACCACGTTTGAAATTTCCTCTCGGCTGGATGACATCGTTGACTTCACTGCCTACAAGGACTTATGTTACACTGCATGGTTTTATTCTGTTTCTTATTCTGTTTTGTCGCAGCTTGAAAGAGGAAGTTATGTGTGGGGAGGGGAGTATTATTATATCTAACTTTTTTTCTGATTGGTTGATTTTCTCTGTGTTAATGTGCTGCCCTGGAGTTCTAGTAAAGAGAGACTTAAGCAAATATTCACACCCTGTCATTAATAAAATTAATATTATATCTACACTAAAGCTACAATCACTGCTCAATGTTAACTGTTGTACTTGGTGACCTATTCTATTGGTTTTCCACTATATTAATCTGTACGTTGTGTGTATGAAATGTGAATGTACAGTAGGGAGGTACAGGGGCACGGACAAAGCAGGCTAATCATCGAAGCTGTATCAGTGCCAGTCAGATCCAATAGCCAAAACTAGTCAAGGCAAGGTATCAGGATATGTAATAATATTATGGGTGGGTTCACCCCCAGAAAATATGATATGGGGGAGGGGTTCACCCCCAGTAAAATAGTATAGAATATAGTAGCAGACAGTCTCTGCTAGGGTAAATTATATACATATCTGTAATAACTGGGGCTCACCCAGTAATATTTGTCCAGAATACATTCCAGTAATAGTAGTAGATAGCATAAGCTAGGACACTCTTAGAAATCAGGGGGATCACCCAAGAAGCCCATATATAATAAAAAAAAAAGAATAAAATATAATGAGAGGAGCTGTAATATGTAATATAAGGGCTCGCCCCCAACTTCGCAGTTGATATGAGGCAGTCTTCATGAGAGGGGCTCACCCTCCAGTATTACGTACTCTGATAAACCGTAACAAAACAAATAACCTGTCAGGAAGAAAAAAACTATGCATATTGGTCTGTGAATGGGAGGGGGCTCCCCCTCCAATAAAGAAATCGTAATATACACTGTAATAGATTGTAGTCAAAACAGAGAACTGACAGGAGGCAGAGTAAATATCAATATTGCTCACTCTCTATTAATGTAATTAGTATCCATATCAGTGTAGGGCTGAGAGAATGAGAGGGGCTCACCCTCTACTAATGAACAATCAGAATCATGTATTGACATAAACTGTAGGGTAAACAGAGAAACTGATATGAAGCAGGCTAACTATCAGCATTGGGCTGAGCTTTGATGTCAGTATCGTGTACTAACCTAAGCTGTAAGGTAGACAAAAAAACTGACCGGCGCCGGTATGAAAACAGCATAGGGTTGTGTTCATGAGAGGGTCACCCTCTAATAAGGAAGCAGTATTACGTGTCGAATTAACCCGTAGTCTAAGAAAGAGGAAAAACAATGGGTGCTGGAACCTCGTGCCAGTGAGTGCGATCCAAGATGGCAGCCGGCTACCTGAGGAAAACGCAGGAGACGTTCTCCGCAGTTCTCGAGAGTCCAGGAAATCGGAAGAGGCCAGAGGAGAGGCCTCTCAAAGTCCCGAGCAAGGGAAAACAAGGTTCCAAAACAAAGCACAAAAGAAACAAAATAATACAGAAAAGTAAAATACGGCTGAAGTAAAGGAAAGTATGTAGACATAAGAGGAAAAGTATAATGACAGGAAAGTAATAAATAAATAATGAGAGGGTTAAACCAAGGAATAACTGAAGCACTGAATCCACAGACAACTGCCTAATGAACAGCACAGCGCTGCTCTACAGTGAGTCCCCTGCATCATCAGGGGTAGGAGGGAGAAAAAGGGGGAAACAAAGATAGAAATAGTGACCAGAAAGTGCACAAGAATTATAGGCAACTATCGGCAAACTATACCAATATGTACTAATTAATAAAGGTACAAGAAATCAGTAATTTAAAATCCCACAGCGACCCACTAAGAGCAGGAGGCAGTGGTACTCTGATCTGTACTGAATTTGTATCAGGAAATCCCTTGCATGGGGATTCACATAAAAGGTCGTGTGTGGCTCCACTAAAGGCAGTTATACCCCCAGAGCTGAGTGTCGTCCCGTTGCTGGGGATGAGGTGGGAGATTCCTGGAATATTTCACTACATCTGGCTGATCTGTTGGAGTATTTTATTTGTTCCTGAGCCAATCTTGGAGTACCCAGCAGAGGAGAGTCACTGCTAGGACTAAGGCTCCGCTAGACTCATGGAGACAAGGCAGTAAAACAAGCTAGTGAAATAAAATTGATAGTTAAAATGTAACCATAACCAACAAATGACAGGTCAGGATTGCATAGAGGAAATTCTAGTGTAGGTTTCTATAAGGCATTAAGCAACTGTAGGTAGTCTCCTAGAAATTGCCTTGGTCACGACTTGTAAGTTGTGTTTGGCAGGTAGTTGATATCTTATATCACAAGTGGACAGGTGGCGAGAGTAGAATAGAATGTGAATTGACCAGCCACAGGACATCTTATCATTCAGTGGGCTGCATACACCCCTCGAGTAAAAGCTGGCTCAGCATGGTGTGTATTGTGTTCATCACAATATGTGTTGCCATGGACTGCAATCACTAACCTAGTGGAATCTGGAACATTAAATACATACAGACGTTTTGATGAAATGGCGATTGATTTACTCGGTGGACTCCTTAGGTCATGGAGAACTGAACGTAGAACCGGTGACCTATGTGAAATCAAAAGTTTTAATGTTGACATTGTACACTGTGACTATTAACTGCTTAAACATTATAAAATAAATATGCCTCACAATTTCAAAACTATCTGCACTAAGCATTGTGCCTAAAGTGCAAAACCTGTGCCAGAACAAGTAGAGGTGATCAAGATATATGTGTTGTGCCAAGAAATATATGTAGTGTATTGCAAGTCCTGTGCAGCAAATATGAGGGTTCCAAGAGTCCTTTTAGCTTTGTACCCTGAGATTCCATGTAATCCTGGTGTCTACTGTTTAGAGATTATACAGATAGATCTATAAACACAAGACATCTTCCACTACAGTGAATTAAAATTGGCCTCTGCTTAAATCTGCAATATGGTTAAAAAAATAAAAAAAGGCCTAACTTTTATTAAGTTCATCTGTGTGAGGCACATTCATATGTACTGGATAAAACAAAAGTCACATACCACCCAAAATACCTGTCAAATTATTAAGGTTATAATAAAATGTTAGATACTCAATATCACCTCCAGAATTTACTTAAATATAAAAATCTAAAATAAGTCTATAAACAAAATTCAGTTAAACAAAAAAATAATTTAAATCAACTCTTACTTTTTTCCCACAAATGCTGATATGTAAACATACTTGGAATGCAATGTAATAGCACTCAAGTCATTTTTACTCATGATTGAATCTAGTACTTTCTTGATCTTGTTATTGTTTGTATCTTGATGCCTAATCTCGATAAATATTGTTTTACAATCGTAAAAAATGAGTACATTATTTGAGAGGTTATAGATTTTTGATTCACCCTGTATAACTTGGCTTCATACAGGAGATATATAAATACAGATTCGTCAGTAATATTGTGCATATTTATCATGTATTTTTTTTTGTCCTTTTCTATCTGATCTTATTCCCTGAAATGATTTGTTAACTGTTGTGCCAGATGGGAGAGCCATGTATTACTTTTTAGGTGGATCAGAAATGTATTTCAAAGAAATTCCACTGTGAATTGGCCAGATCTGCTTAGAACACATTCAAAGCAACATTCAGCAAACTAGCACTACAATAAATACATTTTCCCATGGCTAAGCTGCTTGTTAGTCATAACTTTCCAACAAATGTTCAAAAATAAATAGCCATTTGTTAACTTGATGGTGAGTCAAGGAAACTGCTGGACGTGATCTTAACATCATCTCAATTTCTCGTTGTAGTCTTTTGTCCTGTTGCACAAACACATTTCTTAAAGAGACACTATAGTCACCAAAACGAAGCAGTTTTGGTGTATAGATCATGCGTCTAAGTTTCACTGCTAAATTCACTTCCATTTATGAGTAGAGATGTCGCGAACTGTCCGCCGGCGAACAATACTGTCCGCCCCCTATACGTCATCATTGAGTAAACTTTGACCCGGAACCTCACAGCCAGCAGACACATTCCACCCAATCAGCAGCAGACCCTCCCTCCCAGGAAGTGTCTGCTGACTATGAGGTTCCGGGTCAAAGTTTACTCAATGATGACGTAAAGGGGGCGGACAGTATTGTTCGCCGGCGGACCGGAAATCGGATATGTTCGCCCAACGCGAACACGCTATTGTTCTCCGGGAGACAGTTCGCGAACAGTTCGGCGGACAGTTCGCGACATCTCTAT